TCCGTGCTTTTTCTCCCTCTTAGTGTGTTTGTGGGGGGGGGGGGGGGGGGGGGGTGTTCTTGACCAAGCTGCGCTGTTGCTTTACTAGAGTAAAAGGTCTGGCTATACTAGCGTTTCTTAACCTTTTTTCAGGCACACCACCCTTTTAAAGTATGCAAAATCTTGAGGCACCCAGCCTAAAGTGTAACAGATTTTAAGCGGGAGTCCAGCAAAAACCCACCAAAAATGTAGTGTTCCCCCTTTCACATGGAAGTGCTCCCTTCAATTAAAGATTCCCCCCTTCACATCAGGAGCCCCCTTCACATTAGAAGCCTCCCTTTCATATCCGAGTCCCCTCTTTCACATCAGAGTTCCCCCTTTACATCATAACCCCGCTACCACATAATTTTGAGGCACTCCTGAGGAAGCCAGAAGACACATCAAGGGTGCCACAGCAGAAAGCTGGGCTGGGCTATACTAAATAGCTGATTTACAAGACTGACTGAATAGAATGGCAAATCAGTTGGCTGGTAATACTGTTCCCATATTATTATTATTATTTTTTTTTTTGTAGTTTTGCATAAAGTGGAGGGTTATACAAGAAAAATAGAGAAAAGCAGGGATTTTAAAGTGTCCAAACCATACGAAATGTCCATCAAAACTACATGGTTTTGTATAAAAAAATAGATTTAATTACATTAAAATAGACTTGATTGAAAGACTTGGTTACATTCAAAATGTCGTTGATTTGATACAATAGTGCATTAAAAACAAGCTGCCTCCTTATGGTACTCACATGTGTGTATATATTTTTATACTCATATATCCTAGACTCCTTATTAGTCCTTAACCATTTATTAATTGTGTAATCCACTGTGGGCCCAGTCTTCGACGCATTTTGCAACTGTATGTGCTTCACCAGGAAGGTTAGAGGTATTCTAAAACATTGTATCAAAATAGGTTTAAGTATGGTAATCTCCATAACCAATTCTCTCATGAGAATAGCAAATAATAACAATACAAAACCCACTTCATGCTCACAAAAATGGCTGGATCCTTAGTCTCACACACTATCTCGCAATCACCTCCCTCCAGTCCACCTTTAAATCATGATTATTTTAATGTAATAAAATCTATTTTTTATACAAAACCATGTAGTTTTGATGGATATTTCTTATGGTTTGGACACTTTAAAAGCCCCGTTTTTCTCTATTTTTCTTGTATACATTTCAAATAAGGAGTGTGGTGCCTATCCCTAATGGTTCAATTATTTTGAGTTTAAATAAAGTGGAAGGGGGTTGAGAACACCTGTCAGGTTCATTTTGCTGTCTGTTTTCCCATTAGGGAGATTCACCTTCTCCATTTGTCCTGCTGATCTCTGTCACTAAAAGTGTAATCTGAACAGGAATAGTTGGGAAATCGTCCAATGGGGACACTATTTCTGGTGAGCTTCCTGACCACCGGGGATTTTCATCACTTTGGAGGGATCTCCTCTCACTTCCTGTTGTGGCTATTGGACAGGAAGTGAAGGGAAATCTCTCTAATGGACACATGTGGCAGAAAGCTGACGGGGAGGAAACTTGCAAATGTCACAGCTGTGTTATTTGTATGGTTTCTATTTGTGCCCCGCACCGCACCCCCCACAATACAACCAGT